GGGCTCAGGGGAGAAATCTTAGTGAACTGCAGGAATCTGCCGAGATACCGATATTTCCAGCAAGAACAAAGGTGTCTGCTGCCCGCGTTCAGAAGTCAGGGATGGTTTGTTCCTCACAGCACTGGTGGGGCTCGGGCAGCAAAGGAGACAGAAGAGAGGGCCAGTAACAGGCAGGTTTCCCTGTAATCACAAAATGCTCCCTGCAATACCTGAGATTTCATTTAAGGGCATGAGAAGGTAGTAGACCAGAAAAAGTATTCTGAACACATTAGTGATAATTAAAGTGATTGAGTTTTATCACATGTCACTCCCAAAGAGAATCATCAGAAATTTAGTTACAGCACACTTGACGCTCAGTACATCCTTTAAAAACTCAGGACACTCCCTGTCAGCCTCCCTCATCTTCCTCAGTTATGAACAGGGGCTTTGTGCAGCACACCTTTCCTCAGGCCACACACACACATACACACACACACACATACACACACACAGCTAGTTGACCAATACAATCATCTTCCGAAGGTCACACTCCTGCTCTAACAGAGGGGCAGATGACACTGCCATTGTGAGTCCTATTTCTGTAACACCATGTAGTTTTAACCTGCAGGAAACTATTCTGTATTGACGGAGAACTTAGCTTTAGAAAACCCGTTTATACTCAAAGTGGTTGCAATTTACAAGAAACACACTTGAACAACCTTTTTTTTTTTTTTTTTTTAAGCCAGACGTATGTTACCAGGCACTGGCAACTCCAATAGAGCTTTGTATTTTATATTAGTGTTTCCAATCATGTATTGTACTTTATTCAAAACACCCTTCAGTGAAGTTCTATCCCTTGCAACATCTTGGCGGTTAAAAGTGTGTCAGTCTACTCACGGATGACGCACATGTGTATCCACCAAGAGCCTAACCTCAGACTTCTCTTCTTACCCCTGTTCCATTCAAACTCCTCACAATGATGGATGGATGGCAGCAATCAGAGACTCGAACTTTGAAAACTGGCTGTGTCCTACGTAACACTGCATACCCATCCACGTACACAGAAATGCCAGCCTGAGGGACAACATCAGACTTCTATGTAGCCTAGAACTTTGTTCACGGTTTAGACAGAACCTCCTCCACCTAGCCATCCGACGGGCAGCACGATACATCTCTGCACAGACTTCTGACTGGTTTCCTCAGAGCACGTGGACTCTAGACACGCCCTGCCACGAAGGAAGGGTCCTGTCCTCAGGCCCCTTCCCCTCAGTTCCTCAGCCTCGCACCCAGTTGGAAACTCAAGCTCTGAACTGACTTACAAAACCAACTACAGTGTCACCATCTTTGAGGAAAGGGGACAAAGCACACAGGCTCTAGATTAAATAGTCTACAGGAACGAATGGATGTCATTACCTTATTACTTCTGGAGCTGTTGGACCTTACTATCCAGAAAAGCGTGGGCAGATGCATGTCCTTTATCAGGAAGAACTAGGGGCCGAGCAGCAGTCTCTATCTGAATCATGCTTGGCTTTCTGTTGATTTAACTGTGGACTTGGATTTTCCCTCAGTGCCTTAGTACTCATGCCGCCATGTTCACTCTAGCTGCAGGATGCTGGGTGATTGCTCACTTCCCTGGAGACCCAGAGGCACTGTCTCATCTCCAGCTCCATCTGAACTCACCTGCCCAGCCAAGCTGAGCAGAAGAGCATCCTGGGAAACTCCCTGTACATAGGAGGAGCTGTAACCACCTCCAGGGTCTGGTGAGAGGCATCAAGACCCATGGCCTCCGGATGTCAGAGGCAGGGTTTGCTAACGATGTTAGGAATAAAGGCAGACAGACAGGAAGTTTGCCACTAAGGCCAATTTTGAAAGAAGCTAAGAAAATCCTTCAAGGGAACCCAGTAACCTGGCTCAGGGATGAATGAGGGAAATCCCATCCACCCCAGGGGTCCATGCAAGGGAGTGGATCCCACTGTGGAAGGGCAATGTTTTCCTGGCCTGGATGGTTTGTGCGATAGCTAATTCTCAGGAGTGCAAGGTCAGGAGAGCTACATTCCTAAAGCAAATGTTTGCAAATGTACTAAAGGATGGAGGCAGAGTAGACACAAGGTTCTGAAAAGCACCCCTCAAGCGCCCACCCACACCCCAGAAGCCCCAGGGTAAGGCCAGCCATAAGGGGGGTGAGGCCGCCTGTCATTTTGACCTTCCTGTGCTTTAATTCTAGAGACTGTTTAGAAATGGAAGGAGCAACCCGAGCCATCCGCCTCAGCTAGCAGAGCTAATAGGCTTCTAATTAATTTCCGGGAGATTGCTGTTATAACTAACAGGTTTTAAACATTTGGTTGATTGGGGAAAATGAATTGAATATAATGTATTTGATTTGGAAAATTAGTTTTCATTCTATGTGCTTACCATAATAGTGTTTATTTTAAGTTTACATGATTCCATTAAGAGTCCCAGAACACCACTGGGCAGTTTGCGCATACTGACAGAGTCCTATCTGGCTTAAAAAGGAAAAAAAAAATCAATTTACATTTAGAATTTTGTTGGCCTTTCTTTGAGGGTAGGTTAAATTCATTATTGTGTGTGTGTGTTTGTGTGTGTGTTCCATAAAAATCTCGCTCGATCATATAGCAGCAGGCACCAAATACTTCAAAATGATCGCAGTGATTCCTCCGAGAAGACGGCCAGTCCGAGGTCAGATGCAAACCCTCCCCAGGAAGGCTGTGCATGGTCGGATGGAGCAGCGCCGCCGTTTACTAAGTTTCACTTGATTCCTCCTGACAACCGTTTAAACAATGAATGTTGGGAAGCGGCCCTCAAAGAGGCAGCCACAAAGGCGGGGGGGGGGGGGTCAGGGCTTTTATACTTAGCTAATACTATTTTTAAAAGGAGAAACATTCCTTCCTGAAAGGATTAGAGGCAGGGTTCTGATAAGAGACACCTGCAAACAAACTGAGTGGCAAGGGAGCTGCACCATAATTGATAAGTGAGTTATCCTTTATGTGAGACTCCTTGGGGGGAGGGGGAGGGAATAATAGCACCCAGAGCCGTCGCCTTTTTGGTAGACTCCAGAAATTGCCCAGTCCGGCACCGAAAGGAGTTAACAGCAGTTAAGTGTGTGAGTGGATGACAGCTGAAAACCCTGAGACATCAGGTTATGCTGAAGTACTAAGGGACGAGGATTTTCTCTACTTGCGGGAGGCTGAGAATGCTTCACACCGAAATCGAGAGACACACATCAAGAACATCCCTCCACGTGTGAAACAAAAAATCCTCACGAGGGACTCTAATTGGCAAGGCTCACTCGGCTAACCACGCCCTGGGCCAGCCAGCTTTGGAAAAACTCAACCTTGGCCTAGCTCGAGGCCCTGGGGAAAACAGAGCCCTTTGCAAATTCTTCTAGAAGTAATTAATAATCTCTGTCAAAACACGTGGGTAAAGTCACCTGTATTCTATGGGGTGGGGGGAGACAACCCTGTAGAGAAAGTTTGCTTCCCTACATAGCTCAACCCAGTAAGACACATTTTTTTTTTTTTTTTTTTTTTTTTTTTTAAAAATAGGTTCCCAGAAGCAAAAGTGCCTGGTGTGTTCATCTGAGGTCTGAGGTACAAAGATGCCACCTGTGAGCTCCAGACAGGTGGAAAGCAATGTCCCCACCTATGGGACATGCTGCTTGCAGCCAGAGAGCCTGGGCCCCCTTTCTGTGCAACTATTTGATATATATACATACATCAAATATATATATATATATATATATATATATATATATATATATATATATATATGGACACAGCTAATTTTCTAAATTAAGTACTCAACCAGTTCTTTATACCAGTGACTCCAAACATGAACCTGAGCTTGGGCCTGAAGAGCACAGAAGTAAAGGGGAAGCGGGCCCAGCAAAACTCAGGCGTGGCTGAAGACCCCAGTGTGACGCCTCCACTACCCGCCTGCAGCTTGGCGTGCAAGCTGTACACTGGCAGTCAGGCAGGAGAGAGGAAATAGTGCAGTCTCACGGCGAGCGAGCCTCAGGCAGCTGAGATTTTAACATGAGCATAGCTTCTGATAGACGCGTTTCTTCTCCAAAATAAACGCTTGGGGGAAAACAAAAAGATCCCCTGCCTGAGTCACTGAAGAGTACACAGAATTCAATGACAGAAGAAAGGAAAAACAAAACAGATAATATAAAAAAAAAAAAAAAAACCCCACGGGAGCAACAGCACTGAATGTGGGGATGAGGTGACCCAACATGATTCGTTTGGACCTCAGGTTCACAGACAAAACAACAGGCTCAAAGAAGGCATTTCTGTGGGATTCTTGTTTTTTTCTGTAAAGACACCTTAAGACATAGCAATCAATGTGTGAAAAGAAAAGTTGCCTAGGAAAACAAAAAAGACATTTTCTGAGAAGACTTTGATCCTGTGCTCCTATTATTGGCTTAAACATGCCTGCACTTAAAGCTCAGGATCTGCAATAACCGCTCTTCTATTGTCCTTGCTAACAAAGTATTATTTTCACCTTATTATTGCTAATCTGTTCTTTGTAAGAAACCACACCTGGTTTTTACCCCACCCCCTCCAAAAAAAAAAAAAAAAAACCCGTGCAGTAAATATTTGCCCTTTGTGGCAATACAATGCATAATTTAGTTAATCTGGGCTATCTTTCCGTGAGAGGTGATTGTTTCTATATTATGAAATGTGTTCACAGTAAATCAAATCCACGCCAGATACCTGGGAGGCAGACGGAAAGCCACTTACCAGCATGTAGCTGCCATGAACCAACCCTGACACAAATGCACAGCCACTCCTACACTCGGTATTACTCACGCTAAGTTAGCCTCCCAATCATGACCACACCTTCCTTCTACAAACATGGCCTTTTGTAAGGGAACATTACACATCTGCAGCCCCACAGCCCTGACGCCTCCCCCTTTCCCTCGTGGAAAGGCCCCGGAAAAGATAAAGAAAAACACAGGCCCTTCATTTCTGCGTTTAAGAACGTGATACTACTTTCCATACCTGGATGAAGTCTAGAAACGTTAAGGGAAGCAAGTCGTCCATGTGTCCAATGTCTTTGGAGAAACGATTTAAAATTCTTCCTGCAAGCACAGGATATGAGAAATTACACATCTCCCCAGATAGAACCTTTAAGAGAGACAACTTGCAAACAAATCAAAACAATATTTTAAATGCATATGTATTTAATATATTAGGCATTCATACAAAATAAGCCAATGTCAGTGGCAAAGAAAAATGGATATGGGGTGATAGCTAAAGAGAAATAAAAATGCCACCAAATGGTGCTAGACAGAGATTTTTTTTAAAATACACACATATGAACGTACACACACACACACACACACACACACACAGGAAATGGGAAGAACTCGTGACAATGTTCTTCATATTTATGTCAATCCAAGTGCAAAACAGGTAGATTTTTAAAAATGACAAACACAGAAATTATTGAATTCCAATTGTGATATTAGCGATACTAGGTTTTCTCTAACCACGATAATTAATTCTTCTAAACGTAAATATAACATCTGTGTTTTATCCCTAGGATGGCTCATTGGATCTCCTGTCCCTGGAGACCTCAGAACGCTTCCCAGTGACAGGAAACACTGTAAGGACAGTGTCATTACTGTCAGACAGGTGTCAAGGGGGGGGGGGGGACAGTCACAGGCTTGAGCACCCACGGAGGCAGCAGGGAAGTTGGGAAGGGAAACAGATAGGATACTTCACGACTAAAGAGCAGTTTCTACCATCCACTGCATTTCCTGTGAGAAGAACCAAAGAAATGGTGTATGGCGAAGGCTTCAGTGGGCGCCGGTCAAAACTGGTTTCTAGCAAGCATCTATTATTTGAATGATATAGTTTTAAAAATTAAATACACAGAGACAGGAGGGATGGATGTATGGACAATGGAGTCATGGATGGATGGATGGAGGCATAGATGGATGGATGGATAGATGGATGGATGGAGGCATGGATGGATGGATGGATGGATGGATGGATGGATGGATGGAGGCATGGATGGATGGATGGATGGATGGATGGAGGTATAGATGGATGGATGGACAGATGGATGGATGGAGGAATGGATGGAGGCATGGATGGATGGAGGAATGGATGGAGGCATGGATGGATGGATGGATGGATGGATGCTTGGATGGACAGATGGACAGACAGGTAGATACTCTATTTTGAGGCAGGCAGCTCTCCGAGCTATTTTCTGGCTGATGCTTTGGGAGGCCACGGTGCAGATGTAACACAAGGCCCTGCGTGTACTCTTGCCAGCACTGGGACGGAGCATCCATCGCCTCTGCAATCCTCCCAGAGCACCTGGCTCTCCCGGGAAGCACAGGGTGCACACATCAGACACAAGCACGTCTCAACTCTCCTGTCCCCGACTGGGGACACGCAGGCTCTAGAAAGTGTCATTTTCATGATATCTTTGGCAGGCTCAGTGACAACTGTTCTTAGCTTCAATAACGCCTCCTTCAGAGACTTGTCCTGAGGATTAAACGGGCCCATGGGTGTGAGAGAACCCTGTCACGATGCCAGGCACCTTTCTTTTAGCAAGTGCAGGGAAGCAAAGAAACAGAAAGGTGGGATGGTGACTTTTAGGCAGGCTCTGGAGCACGCCACTCAGGAGTAAGTTCCTTGTCATAATGCCGATTCTATCCAATAGCCAGGACAGAGTCTCAGAGTCTGAGGATCCCATGGAGGCCCAATCTACTACTGTTCCCCTATACATTCTACGGGTTTTTAACTTCGCAAAGAAACAAGACATGCATTAGGAAAATACAGCTCTGTGGGCGAAAGCATTCATTCAGCAGCCGCAAGGATATGAACTCTAAGCCCGCCTCTTCATCCCAGTGACATGTGGTCCCCTCTGGAATGTGTCAGGGGAAGGCGACGGTGGGAATCAGTCCCCTTTCAAACTGTTCTGTCATGATCGACTTGCTTGCTTGCTTAGGTTACAGCGAATCTTGCCTTCCACAACACTCAGATGCTGCAGCCGCACACTCTGCCAGCCGGGCCAGACCTACTCACTTCTCCTGACATGACAGCCCCCGGTACACTCAATCGCAGCCTTCCCAGACTTCCCCACAAAAAGCCTGGTGACGCCACAGGTGCCGTCACTGGCTGGGTCCTCCACTTGATGCCACTGGGCAGGAGTCAAGCGCAACCCACGGGGACTGCTTACAGGCCTCTGCCTGCAGTCACCATGACCAGGGTTGCAGAGGCCACACACTATAAAAAAAAAAAAAAAAATCAACCTGCACCAGCAATCTTCTTCCTTTGCGGAGGGTCCCTTCATCCTGGTATTCCCTTTGCTGCACAAAACCCTTCCATGTGTCCCTACGTGTCAACTGTGTGTTACTTCCCGAGCCACCGCGGCTGTTCTCAGAGTCTGTGTCTGGCCACGACTTCGAATTCCCTCTGCTCTTTCCTCTGTCGGTTTGGGGGTCTCTGATGAAGGACTTTTAACCTCCACTCTTTCTAATGATGTGGATATCCATCCGGTTTTCCAGCACCATTTTCCCACAACCTGTGGGTCACAACCCCTTTGGGGGGGGGTCACATATAAGGCATTTACATTACAATTCATAACAGCAGCAAAATTACAGTTATGAGGTGGCAATGAAATGACGTTATGGTTGGGGGGGGAGCACAGCATGAGGAAGTGTAGTGAAGGGTCTTGGTGTTAGGAAGGCTGAGAACCACTGCTCTAAAGCATTTCAGACAAAGGACAAATACCTAGGATATATAAGTAACTCAAAAAAAAAAAAAAAACTTAACACCCAAAGAAACAGATCAACAGCTGGGCTTGGAATCGAGGAGACAGCTCCTGCAGTAAAGTGAGTTTGGGCCCCAGGTCCCCAGCACTCAGGCACACGGGCTCCACAGCGTGTGCTCATCAGACTGCGGAGCAGAGACAAGAGAGTCTGTGAGGTTCACTGACCAGACAGGCTAGCTGAATTGACTGCCTTCAAGATCAGTGAAAGACCTTTCTGATGATGATGATGATGGTGATGATGAAGAAGACAACACTGGCCTCCGGGATCCACACACATACGTATGTACCACTCACACATACATGAACATGTACACACACAAAAGAAGTCATAATAAAGGGCTAATAGGATCATATAATAGGCAGTTCTCAAATGATGAAATACAAATGGCCAGGAAAGAAGAAAAAGAAAAATGCCCAAGCTCTTTAGCTGCAGAAGAAATGAAAATTGGAATACACTAAGATTCCGGTCACACGGTTATCGTTAGGAGAAAATCCTGGCAGAGGATGCAGGGAGGGCAAGAACCTTTACACATTGCTGTTGGGGACGTAAACTGATTTGGCTACTATGAAAATCAGTATGGGCCAATACCAGAATTACCATTTGACCCAATACAACACTCCTAAGGTAAGATACCCAAAGGTCTCTTACTCAACACATCAGGTACCTGCACACCCGTTGATGGGTTCACTATTCACAAAAGCCAAAACAGAAAATGTAAAATCAGCCCGGGTGTTCATCAGCCCACGGGTGATTAAAGAAAATGAGGCACACTACATGAAATGGAGTTCTACTCATGCATAAAGAAGATGAAATTATAGTTTGCTGGAAAATGGAAACGACTGGAAATCACCATGTTACTCGAAGTAAGCCGGACTCAGATAAATGTTTCTTTCTTCTCATCTGCGGATCCAGATTGCGCACGCATATTTTAGAAAGCCATACATGTGAGACGCGGCAGAGGGATTGCGGGAAAGACGCACACAAGCCAGAGAGGAGCGAGAGACAGGGAAGAAAAGGGGCTGAACACATGCAAGGAGCATGTTACACTTGAGAGGAATTGTTCTCCCGAAACCCCTTACCCGGTGCAACGGATAAATGCGGGCAGAGAAAAATCCGTATTACTCTAATACTGTACTGCACAGGCAGACTGGAGGGAAGGCAGAATGGATGAACAACTTTGAGAGTGTAACCCTTTTGACCCGCAAATTCTATCGCTAGGACCTACACACACACACACACACACACACACACACACACACACACACACGGGGCAGGGACGGCGCTTTGTACGAAGTAAGGGACAATGCGGACTGGCCGGCCACCACGAAGCCCGAGTTGCCACCACGAAGCCCTCCCACATTGTTCTGCTTTTCTGTCTTGTCTATAGAGAAAATTTCACAGGAGATGTCACCAAACTTCTTTCCAAAATACAAATTCATGAAGGGTTACATTTTTAGAAACGGATTGTACAGTATGACCTGCAACCAGACTCACAGCTAGAATTCTGACCTCTCTCCCACAGTCAAATTTCCTTATCTTTACATGGATCACCCACGTCTAACTTGGACCCTTCACCTTATTTTTGGAGTCAGCTGCTCCCACTAAATCTAGAGCACGCCGATTCAGCCAGACTGGATGGACAGCAACCCTCCTATGCTCCCAGGGGCCCAGTGCTACAGCAGGCTTTTACGTAGGTGCTGGAGAGAGTCAGAGAGTTTACCTTCCACTGATAACCTACAGAGAACACAGGCAGCTGGAAGGCAGAAGTGCCCCGTCGAGGGTGAGTGAGGGTGGTCTCTCGTGGGACCGTGGCCAGTGGTAGGTCGACTAGAGGAAAACAAGTGAATGAGCCACCTTCTCGTGAGACCTGTGTGCCCTGGGCAACGTGGCTGGACAAAGGTCAGTCCGAGGCAGACAGCACTACGCGCCCTGCCGAGTCATCGGGCCAGTCAGAACGGCTGCGGTCATGCGCGGTGAAGTAGACATTTAAAAAGTGGGTCAGCCTACACTTCCTTTAACACTCTAGAAAAAAGCTCAGCCAGCCCCGGGGAGCACAGAACAGGAGCCTCGGGGGTCCTCCAACCTGGCTCAGAGCTGGCCACCACCACGGTGAGGTTCAAAGACCAAAGATGTGAAACAAAGCGGCCACACGGGTCCTCGCCCTCCTGTGACAACAGCAAGCGATGATGGGGTGGACCCCCCCCATCCAAGCTCAGTGAAAACTCAGACTCCCTATCCGCAAAAAGGAAGCCATGAATGGGTGACTGCGTCTTCAGGACCTCGAGCGTAGG